TCACTACAATATACCAACCCGTCCCTGTAGTCACTACAATATACCAACCTGTCCCTGTAGTCACTACAATATACCAACCTGTCCCTGTAGTCACTACAACATACCAACCTGTCCCTGTAGTCACTACAACATACCATCCTGTCTCTGTAGTCACTACAATATACCAACCTGTCTCTGTAGTCACTACAATATACCAACCTGTCCCTGTAGTCACTATAACATAAATAGTCCATCCTGTCCCTGTAGTCACTACAATATCCCATCCTGTTCCTGTAGTCACTAAAATATACCATCCTGTTCCTGTCATCACTACAATATACGAACCTGTCCCTGTAGTCACTACAATATACCATCCTGTCTCTGTAGTCACTACAATATCCCAACCTGTCTCTGTAGTCACTACAATATACCAACCTGTTCCTGTAGTCACTACAATATACGAACCTGTCCCTGTAGTCACTACAATATACCATCCTGTCTCTGTAGTCACTACAATATCCCAACCTGTCTCTGTAGTCACTACAATATCCCAACCTGTCCCTGTAGTCACTACAACATCCCATCCTGTCTCTGTAGTCACTACAATATCCCAACCTGTCTCTGTAGTCACTACAATATCCCAACCTGTCCCTGTAGTCACTACAACATACCAACCTGTCCCTGTAGTCACTACAACATACCAACCTGTCCCTGGAGTCACTACAATATACCATCCTGTCCCTGTAGTCCCTACAACATACCATCCTGTCTCTGTAGTCACTACAATATCCCAACCTGTCTCTGTAGTCACTACAATATCCCAACCTGTCCCTGTAGTCACTACAATATACCATCCTCTCCCTGTCATCACTACAATATCCCAACCTGTCTCTGTAGTCACTACAATATACCACCCTGTCCCTGTCATCACTACAATATACAAACCATCCTGTCCCTGTCATCACTACAATATACAAACCATCCTGTCCCTGTCATCACTACAATATAACAACCTGTTTCTGTAGTCACTACAATATACCACCCTGTCCCTGTCATCACTACAATATACAAACCATCCTGTCCCTGTCATCACTACAATATAACAACCTGTTTCTGTAGTCACTACAATATACCACCCTGTCCCTGTAGTCACTACAATATACCATCCTGTTCCTGTCATCACTACAATATACGAACCTGTCCCTGTAGTCACTACAATATACCCTCCTGTCCCTGTAGTCACTATAATATACCAACCTGTCCCTGTAGTCACTACAACATACCATCATAAATATACCAACCTGTCCCTGTAGTCACTACAACATCCCAACCTGTCCCTGTAGTCACTACAACATCCCAACCTGTCCCTGTAGTCACTACAACATCCCATCCTGTCTCTGTAGTCACTACAATATACCAACCTGTTCCTGTAATCACTACAATATACCAACCTGTCCCTGTAGTCACTACAATACACCATCCTGTCCCTGTCATCACTACAATATCCCATCCTGTCCCTGTAGTCACTACAACATAAATAGTCCATCCTGTCTCTGTAGTCACTACAATATACATCCTGTCCCTGTAGTCACTACAACATAAATAGTCTATCCTGTCTCTGTAGTCACTACAATATACCAACCTGTTCCTGTAATCACTACAATATACCAACCTGTCCCTGTAGTCACTACAATACACCATCCTGTCCCTGTCATCACTACAATATAACAACCTGTTTCTGTAGTCACTACAATATACCATCCCGTCCCTGTCATCACTACAATATCCCAACCTGTTGCTGTAGTCACTACAATATACCATCCTGTCCCTGTCCTCACTACAATATACCATCCTGTTCCTGTAGTCACTAAAATATACCAACCTGTCCCTGTAGTCACTACAACATACCAACCTGTCCCTGGAGTCACTACAATATACCATCCTGTCCCTGTAATCACTACAATATACCATCCTGTCCCTGTAGTCACTATAATATACCAACCTGTCCCTGTAGTCACTACAACATCCCATCCTGTCTCTGTAGTCACTACAATATACCATCCTGTCCCTGCCAGGACTACAATATATCATCCTGTTCCTGTAGTCACTACAATATACCATCCTGTCCCTGTAATCACTACAATATACCATCCTGTTCCTGTAGTCACTAAAATATACCATCCTGTCCCTGTCATCACTACAGTATCCCAACCTGTTTCTGTAGTCACTACAATATCCCATCCTGTCCCTGTCATCACTACAATATCCCAACTCGTTTCTGTAGTCACTACAATATACCATCCTGTCCCTGCCAGGACTACAATATATCATCCTGTTCCTGTAGTCACTACAATATACCAACCCGTCCCTGTAGTCACTACAATATACCAACCTGGCCCTGTAGTCACTACAACATAAATATACCAACCTGTCCCTGTAGTCACTAGAATATACCAACCTGTCCCTGTCATCACTACAATATACCATCCTGCTCCTGTAGTCACTACAATATACCTTCCTGTCCCTGTAGTCACTACAACATAAATAGTCCATCCTGTCCCTGTAGTCACTACAATATCCCATCCTGTTCCTGTAGTCACTAAAATATACCATCCTGTCCCTGTCATCACTACAATATCCCGACCTGTTTCTGTAGTCACTACAATATACCATCCCGTCCCTGTCATCACTACAATATCCCAACCTGATTCTGTAGTCACTACAATATACCATCCTGTCCCCGTCATCACTACAATATACCATCCTGTTCCTGGAGTCACTACAATATACCTTCCTGTCCCTGTAGTCACTACAACATAAATATACTAACCTGTCCCTGTAGTCACTACCATATACCAACCTGTCCCTGTCATCACTACAATATACCAACCGGTCCCTGTAGTCACTACAATATACCAACCTGTGAATACCATTCTATCCCTGTAGTCACTACATCCTGTCCCTGTAATCACTACAACATAAATATACCAACCTGTCCCTGTAGTCACTACAATATATCAACCTGTCCCTGTAGTCACTACAACATACCAACCTGTCCCTGTAGTCACTACAACATACCAACCTGTCCCTGGAGTCACTACAATATACCATCCTGTCCCTGTCCTCACTACAATATACCATCCTGTTCCTGTAGTCACCACAATATACCATCCTGTCCCTGTCATCACTATAATATCCCAACCTGTTTCTGTAGTCACTACAATATCCCATCCTGTCCCTGTAGTCACTACAACATACCATCATAAATATACCAACCTGTCCCTGTAGTCACTACAACATAAATAGTCCATCCTGTCCCTGTAGTCACTACAATATACCATCCTGTCCTTGTCATCACTACAATATACCATCCTGTCCCTGTAAACTCACTTCTTTGTGCTTCCCAGTGTGTGTTGATATAACGATTGACCAAACACAACAAATTAACAAAGCTTAACAACAATATTTATGTTTTCAATTATTATAGCATGACAAAAAGAGTTAAAAAATGTGGGGACCCATTGGAAATAAGCTTTCCATGGCTTTGATGGGCTATCTCAGGGTAAGTTAAACTATGTAAATTATAGATATCAACTTTGTTAATCACATACTGATGTGAAATTGTTTTGTTGCGTATACCTGTTCCTGAATAAATATCATTATTATTATTAAATTAACTTTATCAAAACATTTTCTACTGGTTGGTGAATAGAAATTATATACACGTGAGCCAATATCACTCGCCACGTTTTTTTCTCTTCACTTCACATTCAAGAACAACGATTTTGAAGAAGTTAAATACTAAAGCAAAGATATCTTTGAACTAGTGGGCCTTGATTTAACCTGTGAGTAATGTTGCTCAATATATAAAAATCATCATAGTCATCATTTAGATATTAAATCAATATACAGAATTCATCGTAGACATCATTTAGATATTAAATCACTATATAGAATTCATCATAGACATCATTTAGATATTAAATCACTATATAGAATTCATCGTAGACATCATTTAGATATTAAATCAATATATAGAATTCATCATAGACATCATTTAGATATTAAATCACTATATAGAATTCATTGTAGACATCATTTAGATATTAAATCAATATATAGAATTCATCATAGACATCATTTAGATATTAAATCACTATATAGAATTCATCGTAGACATCATTTAGATATTAAATCAATATATAGAATTCATCATAGACATCATTTAGATATTAAATCACTATATAGAATTCATTGTAGACATCATTTAGATATTAAATCAATATATAGAATTCATCATAGACATCATTTAGATATTAAATCACTATATAGAATTCATTGTAGACATCATTTAGATATTAAATCAATATATAGAATTCATCATAGACATCATTTAGATATTAAATCACTATATAGAATTCATCGTAGACATCATTTAGATATTAAATCAATATATAGAATTCATCATAGACATCATTTAGATATTAAATCACTATATAGAATTCATCGTAGACATCATTTAAATATTAAATCACTATATAGAATTCATCATAGACATCATTTCAATGACAATATTAAATCTTGGACCGACGCAGCATCTACTTGGGATAGCCATAAAATGTGTCGCAGCGAGTTATCAGCAATGCCTTAATATGAGTAGAGTGACGACAAGGAGAGTGACATGTGACAGACAGGACACAACAGCTCCCCCTTATGTACCAAGAACGGGGTCGATGGAGTGAGGGGGTAGGGAATGTGTTATAATAAGGTTACAATACATCATGGCGACTTACCACATGGTTAACGTTTCCCCGGATGATGTTAATCTTGTTCTTATAGGGAGCCATCTCAGTTCTATACCGCCTGAATGGACAAGGTCGTACATCTGTTGAACTAAACAACAAAAACCAATCCAGTAATTTATAAGACTATTTACAGGCGATCATACAGTTTATATAACTAGTAAGTCATATCGCCCTCGGATTTTCTTTTGGAAGGCATTCATACCTCTTTCAAAAGAGAAATCATTGACAAAACAGTTGCTATCTTTCAATCTCTATTATCCCTTTAACGATCCCTGTACCACTGCCAAAAACTGTAACAAAGTGTTGGAAGCTATTTTTTTCCAGCATGCTATAGCTTTGTTAAATCATTTCTGAAAAGAAAACCATACCTTGCGGGACTTTTATGAGAAATAATAAAGATAAAATAAACAAAATATAACAAACAAGTGTTCTGAGTGTGAACAAAATCTGTTGGGCTAGACCGGTACTTAAACCCTGAACTTCAGATTGTGTAATACCATTGCTCTGACCGATTGGGCTATCTGGTCACAGTCAGTGTACAGGCCCAACTGTGCTACCTTTGTATCCAAACGGAAGTAGAGGGGAGGGAACTGTAGATAAAGAAAAAGACACAGTGCAGTGGGACGGGGATCCTTAACTGTACATGTGGTGAGATAATTATTTACACCTTTAACAGTCCTACTCTGTGTTGGTGACCATTTCACAGCGACCACAGCTAGTGTCTCATTGACAAGGGATCCAAACACAGAATCATCTTAATCATATAGATTTTGCTTTCAATATGATAGACATTATCATAAAGTCAATCAGGTATGTCAACCAAAACTTACTTTACATTTAGGAACGTCAGCATGTGCGATAATCTTAGAAAAACTGAAAAGAAAAAAAAAAAGAATGTGTTTACATAATTAGTTACTATATAATTATTTTTATATCATTTTTTTTCCTGAGAAAAAAACATATACTTAAAAATCTTTAAAAAACGTATAGGTAAATTGCTTGACCAGGAACAATTTTTTTACTGGTTCAAACCATTAACAAATGTAAACACATCAAAATGTTTGGTCGAATGTGCTGGAACTTCACTGTGTGGTACTGTCTATGGCCAAAAATGACCGAACACAGTGTAACACATAATCAACTACCAGCATAGACACTAGGCAAACGTTTCTGACCTCACAACAGAAAGGCTTTAAAAACTTGTATAATTACATAATAATTCCTTTAACACTGATAAGAATCATCCACAGAAATGGAGAGAACCCCCACCCCCTCTCCCACCCCCGCCTAAAATCCACATCATCACTTTGAGGAACACTGTTACGTGACAATCAAGTGACCTTATATTGGTGTCATGTGACAATGCAATGAAAAACTATTAACACAAACAATATAACACAGACAAATGTACGTACTTGGTGTGGGTAAATTGGAAAACAGCAGAAAATATTTGATTTCTATGTATATACAAAAATAAAGCCATTTATGTAACATAAATGTATACTAAGTACGCGCCTCAGACTGTCCAATATTTTACATAATAGACAGTTTTCGGCTTATATCTTACTTAAAACATGTCCCCTATTGTATCAATTGTGATCAGTGTTTTGGTGCATTGTGATAATATTGGACAGTTTCACTATGAATCAATTACCGTGAAAGCTATTCATAACATATTGGACAGTTTTTCAACTACACTGTATACTGAGGTCAGTCATGTATATCAATCTCACTTTGCATGATTTGTATGCAACTGCATATACCAGGTATGAAATACACCCAGGTATAGTACTTATCTCATTCCAATCATGAGTTCCGATAGTGAAGGAGTATTTTTAACACAGTCAACATTTACAACAGAAAATACTGTTGTAGATACAGATGAGATATTAAGTGATGTCCTGGATTTACAGAAGGAAAATATTACACCTCGGCCAAATTTCAACATTTTAAGTGAGATGTTCTCAGACATCTCGGAAGGTGAAATGACAGAAATAACTCAAGTTGTTGAAGAAGTTGAAACACGGCGACGATTTGCAATTCTCATGCAGGATGGTGATTTGAAAAAGTTTTTGTAACATATTGGACAGTTATGCATATAACAGTACTCATATTCTATATAATGGACAATTATAACAATGGATGGCATCACAAGAATGTTTTAATAATTACTATATGACACTGACACATACAAAATGTATAAATATCTACAAACTTCCTTGGGTGTCTAGACCAGCGTTGATTAGATTACTTACCAAAGCCAGACATATAAGCATCGAAGCCAGCTTCATGGGGACGACTCTCATCTTCTAATTGATTAAAAAGAAAGTAACAACTAACAGAAAACTCACAGATAAGAAATGACAAAATTTGTTCAAGACGTTTGTTAAGAATAACAGTCTTACATAATCAACAAAATGAAACATGTTTCTTTCAAATATATCTCGGCTATGCAGTGAACGTAAAGGTGACACACTATTGATTTCCGTGGTGTATAGTACAGTTTTGATTTCCTAGTGCTATTTTTATCTTGATTTTACATAAAAATTCTAACTGATGCAGTTTATAATTTGTGTTCTGAGGATATTTTACATGACTTTATTGTTTTTAAAATTACAGCAGCTGTAATAAGTAAGAATCATTCTACTTACTTTGTATTAACTCATTCACCCCTGAAGACACAATTGAACTCTTCTTATTCAATGGTTGGAATAGTCCATCATGAAATTTCA